CACAAGCTGCTACCAAGTAACCACGCAGAGGCTTAATACTAATTATAAATGCTTAAACAATAGCTTAGGCTTATTACCAGTTAACTCTTACATTTAAATTAACCCATATTTCTTATCTATACTTTGTCACATGGCTTGGTACCTTTTCTCAGTACAACATGCCCATCTTGCTCCTCTCGGCATCTACCTAGACTCCTCAGCTCCGCCCTTCTTTCTCCCAGCATTCTGTTTGGCTCTCCCACCTAACCTCATCCTGTTCTACTTGGCCAGTAAGCTTCTTTATTAAATCAATCACCATGACATATATTCTCACACAGTGTAAAGGAATATTCTACAAATTCACTCTGTAACTGAAGCCGACCTTGGACTCCTGAGCCTCCATCTCCACCTCCTCAGTTCTGGGATTTCAAGCCTATACCACCATATCCAACCCAAAGCCTTTCTTAATATTCCCCCGGGAGCTTGGTAGAAAAATCAAGAATGGAACACAAGTTCTGAGTCCTAGACCTGCCCTTCCTGAGCTAGCAAGGGCTCATCCTTCCCATAGCTGCTACTAAACCCCCAGCAGGTGAGGTTGCAAGCAGGGATATACCACCCTATATCACTGCACCCTCTAGCTTGGCTCGTCAGAATCATCCTATAACAGGTGTGTCAGAATGAGCTTAAATCAGCCTGTGAGCATGGATAGGTGTCCCCTGGACAGCTCCAATGTTCTGCCTGAGAAGAGAGGGCAGGGACTTGTCTAAATGACTCAAAACATCCCTCCCAGGAAAGAGTTCTCAGTGTGTTACTGGTCTGCTAGGAATTTTGTCAGTATTAAGGATTGGCTCAGAGCCTTGTGCATGACAAGAAAGCACTCTGCCGTTAAGCTGCACCCTTGCTCTCAACTATTTGGTATAGATCCTAAAAACTGAGATGATCAACTTCCTACTCTAGCCAAAGAATACCATTGACATGTCTGCTATTGGAATTTGCTTCCAAGGGACTATCGCGTTTTCCCAGGGAGGTAAAAGGCAGCAAATGCATTTATTCAAGTAAAGGAAATAGTTGCTTTAATGGTAGTCTGGCTCTTTAAAACCCTCCAAATCTGCCAGGGCCCAATGGATCCCAAGTTCGTCTTCCCTGGAGCATGGGTGGGCTGGGGAGGGGATATCCTGTTTGCTCTTTGCCATCTACCTCCCCTCCCCACTAACATAGAGTTGCTGCCTCCAGGCTCAAGTGTCAAGTCAAAGGAGGCACCAATATCCCTGAGACATTTCACACTGGTATCTGAGATGCTATAAACCTCTTTCTCCATAAGAGAGAAACTAAACCTAGTGTGCACCAGAAAGAAGTAGACTTATGACAGGGAGAATTACTAATTTGGCCAGGAGGCAGCCAGGCTCAAAGGGTGCAGTGGCAAAGACCTTGAAGGGTGAGGCTGTCAACGAGGGTGCTGTACCATTTGGGAGCTTGTTGGCTGTCTACAGTGAAAATGCTTACGGTTGCTAACTCAACTTGGATTAAGGAATTCTAGAAGAAACTAAGGAAGCCCTTACTGAGAAAGCAATGGCCCCTTACATCAAACACTTTTCTCGAGAGGAGAAAGTGTGGGAGCCAGGATGCTAGATCTCTACCAGACACAGGATGTGGTGTGGAGTCAGCACACTGGGTTGTCTGAACAACGCACTAGGGTCCCACCCTCAGACTCTGCCCCCTGTGGCATGTCTCTGCAACTGCAGGCTGTTGCGGACTTGGGACCCTGGAGCCAAGCTATCTATGTTTAAATCTCGGCTCTTCTTGTTACTAGCTGTTTACCTAATCTCCCTAAGCCTCTACTTCCTTGTATGTTAAATGGATGTAATGAGAGTATTTACCTCTTGGGATTAAATGAGATCAAGTGCTCAGCACAGGGCTTGGGTACACCGTAAGCACCTCATAAAAGCTGGCTATTAGCACTTAGTTCCCTTTCCGGGCTTTTAGGGGAGGGCCTTCTTCCTTCCCACTCCCAGACTCCATCCTTTCAGAAGGCTGTGTGTAGCCCAGAAGGACTTTTTTCTCCTTTGTCTATCTGTCCTCTCCATTAATCTCTCCAATGAGATTAGTTCTGATGTCCTCTACCTGAAAAACATTCTTTCCTTCTTAGTTCTCTGGAGGAAAAGAGGGCAGATGGGTTATTTTGGCCACAACCTTCCAAAACTTTGTAAACAGTCAAAGAGCCTAGCCAGCCAAATACCTGGAATGCAAGGTTCCCTTGGCCTCTTCTGTCAACCCTCAGCAACCCCTTGCCCCTCCCTTCTGTCTCTGTTTTTCCCACCTTGGCTTCCCCTGCCCTCTCCCAGCCCTGCTGCCCCTGCCCCTCCCACCCCTACTGTAGCCCCTGCCCCTCCCAGCCCTGTTGCCCCTGCTCCTCCTAGCCCTGCTGCCCCTGGCAACTGGGATAGGGGGCTAGCAGCTCCAAGAAAGGTCTGGAGAAAGGTATGTAGAGCCTGTAAGTGGCTCTCCCCATCTCCTCAAAAAGCTGCTTATCAGGGAATGAAGCACTGGCCCGAGCTTGCCATGACAGCAGGAGCTGCCTGAGAAGAGAGGCTGAGATAAATGAAGTATCCTTCATCCCCGTCAGCGTGGGCCAGACAGAAACCAGGTGCAAGGCAGTGCGCCTTCATCGTCTGTAAACAATCTTCCACCGCCCACTGCAGCAGCTCGAGGTTGAGATGGGGATTAGAGGAAGGGCTTCTGCAGGCCTGGGGCCTCTCAGCTGGACAGAGAGTTAAAGGGCGCTCCAGAGATAGCTTGCCGCTGGGAAAGAGGCTTGAGGAAACACAGCCATTTGTCAACAGGGGGTTCGCTTGACCTGGCAGGAGAGAATCTGATATCTAAACAGTTCCCTGTGTCTCCGAAGCGCTCTGAAAGTTCTCCTGTTAAATATTTGATTCCACATCAGATAACAGCCCAAGGCTCTTCCTACTGACTTGGAAAAAAAAAAAAAAAACTGCCCCTGGAGAGGGAGAGAGGCCTAAACGCACCTGGACTTGGCTTAAAATCAGCAGGGCTTGAGGTAGGCACACCCCTGCCCAGTTAGGGGCAAAGACAAGGCCCGCTGTAAATCCTTGAAGAGAAACGAGGCTAAGTGCTTTTCAAAGGCACTTTCCCCCTCCCGGCTACACCTGCTTCCATCCCGACCCTTTTCTGTAGCAGAAGTTCCTCTTGAAAGAACTAAAAAAGAAAAATAACCGTGACCCTGCGCTCAGACAGTAGATAGATGACAATTTCATCAATCTGAAGTCACAAAACAGAGCTAAGTGCTGGAGTGCCCTCGGGGAGTGCCCTCAGGGAGGTGGGGCAGGCGCCTTACTCAGAGAAAGGACTTTCTGTTTACAAATCTTTGTTTTCCAGCCAGGAGGGGACTCTGTCTCCAATTCCAAGTTTGGAGTTCTCCTGGAGATAAGGAAAAAAGAATGAACTCATTTGAAATATTATTTCAAACTAATATTGCCTCGGGGCTGGAGAGATGACTCAGGTTAAGAGCACTGACTACTTACTCTTCCAGAGGACCTGGGTTCAGTTCCCAGCACCAGCAGAGCGGCTCACTACCAGCTGTAACTAAGGTCCGCATCAGATAACAGCCCAAGGCTCTTCCTACTGACTTGAAAAAACTGCTCCTAGAGAGGAGAGAGGCCTAGATGCACCTGGACTTGGCTGAAAATCGGCAGGGCTTGAGGTTCAGTTCCCAGCAACTGTGTGGTAACTCACAACCACCTGTGGCTCCAGTTCCAGGGGATCCAATGCTGTTTTCTGACCTCCAAGGGCACTGCATGAATGTGTGCAAGTACATTTAGGCGAAACATGCATACACATAAAAAAATAAACAATTTTTTTGAAATGAGAGAGTAGTAAGGTCTTAACCATTAAAATAAAATGTGGAGGGCTGAAGGGATGGCTCAGCAGTTAAGAGCACTTGTTGCTCTTGCAGAGGATCCAGATTTGGTTCCCAGCACCCCATAGTAGTTCACAATCTCCCATAACTCCAGTTACAGGGGATCTGATGCCATTTTTAGACTTCCACTGGCATCAAAAGCTGCACATGGTGCATATACATGCATGCAGGCAAAATATTCACATATAAAATAAATAAGATAGAGAGATGATAGATAGATAGATAGATAGATAGATAGATAGATAGATGGATGGATAGATAGATAGATAGATAGATGTAGGTAGAGAAAGAGATAAGTAGACAGATAGATAGATAGATAGATAGATAGATAGATAGATAGATAGATAGATAGACAGATAAAGCTTGGAGACCAGTCAGGACTGTGTCTCAGTTGGCTGAGTACTTACCGAGCATGTGTGAAACCCTGGATTCAATTTCCAACACCAAACCTTGAACACGGGCTTCATCCAAGGACTTTCAAGGCTGACAAAAGAGCTCAGCAGATTGGTGCCCGCTGCCAAACCTGAGAACCTGAGTTCAATCCCTGGAACCCACAGAATGGAAGGAAAACACCAACTCCGCGTGTGTGCATGCATTCAAACAAAATAATTAAAATGTAATAAAATTTTGTTTTTTAAAAAAGAACCTTTTAAAGGGTTACCGTGTCAGCTCAGAACACAGGCTGAATTATTTTTAACCTTTTACGTTAAAAGTTTTTAGATTAAGGGCTAAAGAGACGGCTCAGTAGTTAAGAACACTTACTGCTCTTGCAGAGAACCCAGGTTCAGTTCCAGCACCCACGTAATGACTAAAAATTAGCTGTAATTCTAGTTCAAGGGATGCCAATGCCTCTTCTGGCCTCCAAGAATGCACACAAGTGGTATATATATATATATATATATATATATATATATATATATATTCAGACACACAATGCACACATTAATTTTTTAAGTTTTCACTTTCAAATTAATACATTAGTAAAAGAATAAATGAAATCATATATGTATCCAGGCTTCTCCAGCTTCCATAATTACCATTCAAGACAAACTGTGTGTCATTCTTAACCTCTACACAGGTATAATCTGTTTTAAGAGGCTTTATTTTGACAAGTGCCAGTATTATTTTAAGGGAAAGAATGTGGGATTTCAGTCTGGAGCTGACTTGAGGTTGGAGAGACGACTCAGCTCTTAGGAGTGCTCCAGAGTTCCGTTCTCAGCGCCTGCGTAGGGTGACTCACAAATGCCTGTAACTCCAGCTCCAGTGGGTGCAACACACTCTTCTGGGCCTTGTTGGGCACCTGCATATACATAAAAAGGGGCGTAAGAGTAAGCCCAGCTAGATAGTACACATTTTGAATCCCAGCACTTGGGAGGCAGCGGCTGGTGGATCTCTGGTGAGTTCAAGGCCAGCCTGGTCAAAACATCTAGTCCAGACCAACTAGAGCTACACAATGAGACCCTGCCCACCACGCCCGGCCACTTAACTCTTTTGATTCTCAGTTCCTTTACCTCTAGAATGAAGATGATCATAGTGAGACTAATTATACATAGATTTAGAGGCTCTAAAGGAAATGAGACGTCAGCTTGGAAATTCAAAAAGGAAGTGCTGTGCAAACATCAGCCTAGGCTTCATCTCCCAGTGTGTGTGGCACCAAGCATGGGTTTGAGGAACGTGTACTGTAGCTGCTAGGTACTAAGTAATGCAAAATACAACTGCCTTTCAATCTTAGACTGATCAGTTTACCACGGTGGTCAGTGAGACAGCGAGACCAGAGAATGATGCAGCCTGTAAGTGAACGAGCCCCGGGCCCTCAATCGACACGTCCTATTGGCCAGAGAAAATCACTTCTCACCTCACCTATCCTTGTTCAATGTCAAGGTCTAGAAAATGTCGTATCGTGTCAAGAGTCTCCAGGCCTGTGTCTCCATTAAGGATCCGAGTGAGAGTTACAGAGCCAGCAAGGCAAGACCTCAAAATTGCATTTTGAAAAAGAATCTGTTGCGAACATAACCCAAGTCACCTTTTCAAAAAGCATTTGGAAGTAAGCATTAGATACAGACTCCAACACTGAGCGAGGGGAATGCAGGGGCAACACGTGCCCCACAGGCTGACCTCCACGCTGTCTCCGTCTGCAGCAGGAGGGATGCTATTTCTTCCTTGTCTTTCATCCCTTAGAGAAAAGAGAATTGCAGAATTGCATCCTTACCCCAACCTCTGTCTCCTGGTGGCCCGTGAAAACAATATTTTCTTGCTCAGCAGGGCAAAACTTCCCATTTCCATCTGTCCTTCCCCGTGTCTTAGCTCCACACAGAGGTCCCTGCTGCGGAAGGATTTCTCCGGGCAGTGATTTGCTCTCCCAGGGGCCCTGGCTGTTTTGTATCCCTGGAATACATCAGAGTGAGAGCAGAAATGAAAGGACCGAGGCCATGTCAGCTGCTCTAGGGCTCAGGTCAGGTGATCCGATTTTTTAATGAACATGGAGGCTAGGGACTTGAAAACAAGGTCAAGGTTCACAGGAGGGCTGGCACAATATGTGTCAGGATTATTAAATCCTCACTGTGCACACATCAGTGTTCCTTAATATCCATTCCTCTCAGGGGCTCAGCAGAGAGCTCTCAGCCATCGGGAATCCCGATCTCCTGGCCGTCTCTGACTTCATGCTGTCAGACAAACAGAAAGAACATTTGGCATTCTGGTTATGTCCTAAGACTTTGGTTCCCACCCTGACACTTCAGTTCCTTAGCTTTCCCTTTTGCCCAAAAACAACCAAAGGCCAGGTTTCCACAGTGTTTCAAGGAGAATACAGCCTGTGGCTGTGTAGAGGGAAGTTCCACTCAGCGATGCTGCCTGGCCTACCTCTCATACGAGTATGTTCCTATTCTCCTTGGGGACACTTTGGAGTGTTGGGGACCTCGATGTTCTGCTTCCAGTTAGAATGAGGGCCTGCTTACTTAGTGTGGTAATGCTAAGCATCACTGGAAGGAAGGTGGTTTCTGGTAGGTTTCAGTCTTTTTTTCTTGTACTCTGGTTATTTCCTTTAGTTGCCTCTAGGAGCAAACACCACCCACTTCTCTACAAGGAACCCCCGTCTTTAGTGGATGGAGGTTCTGCTGTTCAGTGTGCCAAGGTTCATGTGATGAGGTACAGAGAATATTCCAAAGGACTCTTAGGAAGGTGGAGGTGTAGCTCATCAGGAGAGAGTTGGTCTAGCAAGTGCGAGGCCTGGGTTTAAGCCTCAGCACTGGGGGAGTGGGGGGGGGGGGGAACCCTCCCATTTAGCCAATAAAATGAATCTTAGCGTCTCTCAGGATAACCTGGTGTAAGTTCTCACCACTACAAACTAACAAACAAACAAATGAAAGAACCAAAAACAAAACAAACAAAAAAGAAAACCTTGAGAAAATGAACTTTGTTTGCATTCTTTTTTTTTTCTTTCTTTTTTTTTGAAACAGGGTCTCGCTTTGTAGACACAACTGACCTGGAATTTGCTATGTAAATCAGGCAAGCCTTGAACTCTGACTTCTAGGTGCTGGGATTAAAGGTGTGCAACACCCAGCAGGGCTTATTTTTATTACCTTATTTTATACCTCTGCCTCTCGACTGCTGAGTTTGTAGACAGTGAGCTACCACACCAAACTCTGCGATACTTCACTGACAAAGACAGAGACTTATTTTGGCTCCCTCTCTGGAGGTCTCAGTTCAAGTTTGTGACAGGAATCATGGCAGAACAAATGGCTTGGCCTTTCAGCCAGGAAGTGAAGGGAACCAAGATGAGGCTGTAGTCCCACAATCCCCTTCAAAGGGTCCTTTCCACTAGATCCCACCTCCTACGTTCCACTGTCTCCTATTAACACCCTTTGGGGCCAGCCCCTGAACACATGAACCTTTGGGAGACACAATTCTAAGCCATAATTTCACCAAAAATTTTTCTGTTATATTTCTGGCATCAAACACGGATGTTTTGACTCAAGTAATAAGGAACTCATTCAGAAGCTCAACTGTACCTAGAACAGCCCTTAATTGTTGAAAAGTGGCTATTCCTATTAACTTCCTAATTTCTTTCTCAGCCAAACAGGATGAATGGAGTCCTTTCCAGAGTCACATTCAACAAATTCCTTCAGACTTTTGAAAACATATAATGTCTACTCTAAATATGCTTACTACAAGCAAAACATCTCTGGCTATTTCAACATTAGCCTATACAGAGAAAAAGCAAGGAATGAGCTGTGAAAAATCCCTGAGTTAAATTTCTAACAATAGTTGCCTAGCTGAGTTACCTTGGGAAAGTCATTTCACGTCCCTGAATGTACTTTCTTCCTCTATAGTATGGAGATTATATACATACTCTTTGTTTTGTGTTCTGTTTTGTTTGGGTTTGGTTTGGTTTTTAGAGACAAGGTTTCTCTGTGTAGCTTTGGAGCCTGTTCTGAAACTCATCTTGCTGACCAGGCTGGCCTTGAACTCACAGAGATGCACCTGCCTCTGCCTCTAGAGTGCTGGGTTTAAAGGTATGCGCCACCACTGCCTGGCTGTTTGTTTGGTTTTGGTTTTGGTTTTGTTTTTTTAAGACAGACTTTCGTGTAGCCCAGGCTGCCATGGAATTTGCTATGTAGCCAAACCTTGAACAGAACTCCCCACCTCCACCTCCAGTGTACTGGGATTACAAGCATGTAACACCACACTCAGCTAACTTTACTGGCTTACAATGCACTTCCTGTTAACTTAAGTAATATAATATCCTTCTGGAGTCTTTGATGGAGTTGAAGAATAGATAGTTATAGTTATAGTTTTCCTTAGTTATGATAAAAGATAAAGTAGATATGAATATTGTAACTATAATTCCTGCTTGATACCTGTTTTGTTATATGTAATTTTACTATGTTAAAAGTTAAAACTTTCCTTTTTGTTTGAACAGAAAGGGGGAAATGATGCGGGAAGTCCTTCTATCTATGTGTTGCTTTTATTGATTAATGAATAAAGCTGCTTTCAGCCAATGGCTTAACAGAGTAAAGTCAAGTGGGAAATCAGAACAGAGATGTAAAGAGAGAGTAGGCGGAGTCAGAGAGAAGCCATGGAGCCACCACAGAAGACAGATGCTTTTGCCAGAGCCCACCAAAACTTTGCCAGTAGGCCACAACCATGTGGCAACACACAGATTAATAGAAATGGGCTAATTTAAGATGTAAGAGCTAGCTAGAAATATGCTTAAGTTATTTGCCAAACAATATTGCAATTAATATAGTTTCTGTGTGATTATTTGGGTCAGAGCAGCCGGGAAACAAGCAAGTAGTCTCTACCTACAATCTCCTATGGATCGTTGTTGTTGAGAATGTGAAGCTAATATAACATTTGATATCTACAGGCATCAATACACTCAGTAGGCATCTGTGAGATAAACACTGTACCAAGCACTAGGATGATAAAGACTAACAAAGTGGCCTGGCATAAAGTAATCAGAGCACTCTGGAAGGCAGCTATCACCACTCTACCCCCAACACTCAGGGCACTACAGAATAAAAGTCATGGTTACATGTATGAGCACCTGAACTCTATAAGTACAGGGCAAGGGCTCTTAACTCATAATGGAGTCCAGGGAAGCAGCAACTGGACTGAGTCTCAGAGGATACACAAGAGCTACCCAAACTAGGATGGAGAGAAATGACTGAATGTTTAAGGCCACTAGCTGCCCTTGCAGAGGACTTGTGCTTGGTTTCCAGACCAACACGGCAATTCACAGCCATCAGTAACTCCAGTTTCAAGGGATCGAGTGCTTTCTTCTGACCTCCACAGACACCAGACACACATATGGTACATAGACACATGTAGGCAGAGACTGCTTGTTCATTTCCCGGCCGCCCAGATCGGAAATAATCACACAAAACTATAGTAATTACAATACTGTTTGGCCAATAGCTTAAACATATTTCTCGCTAGCTCTTACATCTTAAGTTAGCCCATTTCTATTATTCTGTGTATTACCACGAGGGTTGTGGTTTACGGGCAAGGTTCCAAGGCATCTGTCTCCTTTGGCAGGTACACGGTGTCTCTCTGACTCCTCCTTCTTTCTCTCTCCATCTCTGTTTAGATTTCCTGCCTGACTATATTCTACCCTGCTATAGGCCAAAACAGCTTTATTCATTAACCAATAAAAACAACACATATACAGAAGGGCATCCCACATCAGGCATACGTAGAAACCCTGACTTAAAAACCAAAAAAAGAAAAGGGAAGGAAGGAAGGAAGAAAGAAAAAAGAAAGAAGGAAGCAAGGGAGGAAAGGAAGGAAGGAAGAAAGTAAGAAAGAAATTAAAGAAGAAAAAGTGAATAAAGAGAAGTTTTAAAAATTAAAAATTAAACTGTGCAATAAGTATTCCACAAGTAGCTTATAGGACTAGAAGAATAAGAAAAGTGTTGTAGTGACTCCTGGATTATATTCCAGGTGTTCTCAGAGGCTAATGCTTTGGGTCCTGGGTGACCCTCACAGTTGTGGTATATGGTGAGCTGCTAAGAGATTAGGGTATTTCACTTGGAGTGGCAAAGACTGGAGAGGGAAGGCCATCATGACTGCCTTATGACAGTTGAACTAATAGCAGTGGGAGCAAAGGGTAAATGTTTCTGTAGAATAAATTTCATGTTTAGTAAGGAAGAACAGCAAGAGTGGCTTAAAGAGAAAACTGGCTGTCTCAGGAAGCCCTGAACCTCCCATCTCTGGTGACGGGTGGGTTAGAGTCAGAAGCTGGACAAACACTGGATGGAAACATTGTCTGAGTTGTGAACAGAAGCCGAGGCCAGATGGTTTCTGTGGTCCGTTAGCACTCTCTAAGATGCTGTTAAAATATGTGGATGCAGTGCTATAGATTAACGTTAGTGAGACGAATGCCTCCCTTAATATACTTAGCATTGTTATTTAAATCTAGGAGATCTTTATTTTATATGAAGAAGGTGAGAAAAGCAAAAATCGAATAGATTTGCTGTGTCTGTCAGCTATAAATATCACACTAGCGTCGCCAAGTGTTGGCTCGGCCCAATCTTTTCTCTCGTATTCATTCATTTATCTTTCCAATACTTCATAAATATTTAGAGGATATATATTTTCCTAGGTACTAAAGATACAAAAACAAATAGATGGATAAATAAGTGATAAAGATGATGAGGTAAGTGCCAGCACGGGAGAAGAGAAGCCTGTGGCGCAGACTATGGTGGGTTTCCCCTGGGGACAGTAGGGAGGGTGCCTTAAGGGAGGAGCACTTGAACTGCAACTCAGAAGATAAATAAAGATTTTTCTAGACATAGACTGGATAGAAAATCATTCGGGCAAGAGGAACAGCTTATTAAAAGTCAAAGATAGAATGATAGGTTTCAGAAGGGCAAGTGTCCAGTAAGAGTGGATCGCAAGGAAGCTCAAAAAAACTGGAAATTGTGAGGGGAAAGGGGGAGGGAGCAGGGAGGCAAGAGTTGAGGGGGAGGAAGAGAGGGGCAAACAGAACGTGTCTGAAATCCAGTGTCTTCGACTCTGAGGGCCTGACCTCCTTAAAGCTCTAAGTATTGACAGTTTTGTTTTGTTCTTCCAGACACCTTGCAATTTAAGAGAGCTTGCAGACATATTACCCACTTCCTGATTACAGTTTTCAGGGGCTTTGTGTGTCGGGGGGAGACAGGATCTCTCTATACAGCCTGGAACTCACTCACACTCTGTACACCAGGCTGGCCTCATACTCACAGAGACCCGCCTGCCTCTGCCTCCTGAGTGCTGAGGTTAAAGTCTCGTGCCACCATGTCCAGGCAGTTTTCAAACTTCTTGACCACTTTAAATTCATCCAACCTGCCCTGTTGTGCCTTTTAAAGGTTTATCTGTTTCACTGTAACATTTCTCAAGTGTGCATGGCATGTGGACAGCTCTTGGGTTCACATGAGTGAAATACTCAAAGACTTCCTCCAGGTTACTGCCTGGGGTCTTTTTTCCTGGGGTCTGGAGGAAGAAGGAACTGGTTACTAAAGGGTGTGGTCTGGGTGATTCCCTGTTTTGATTGACGGATTAACTCATATAATCACTTTTATACTATGCACATCCCTTCCCAATGCACCTGATTTTAGCATATGCATGCATGTGTTAAATATATACATAGTCATGAGATGATAAATGGGGACTGGAACAATGGCTCAGTAGCCAATACAACTGCCTGCTCTTCCAGAGGACCCGGGTTCAATTCCCAGCATCCCACCTACATGGTGGCTCACAACCATCTGTAATTTCAGTCTAAGGGAATCAGCTACTTTCTTCAGCCCTTTGTAGACACAGACTATGCATGTGGTGCAGGCATGCATGTAGATAAAGTATTCATACACATAAAATAATAAGAAGAAGATAATTTTTAAAGGTGGTAAATAGAAGATTCTTCCTAAATTTTGCTTTCCTCAAAATTTGCCTATGTATATATGGCAGTACATGCACCCAAAGCTGGTTCAAGCTGGATCTGCCTTTCTGGTCTCATTTCTGGATATAAGATGATGTGGGAAGTCCTTCTGTATATGTGTTGCTTTTATTGGTTAACGAATAAAGAAGCTACTCTGGCCTGTGATAGGGTAGAATAGAGATAGGTGGGGGAAACTAAGCTGAATGCTGGGAGAAAGAAGGCAGAGTTAAGGTGAAGCCATTTAGCCCCGCCAGAGACAGATGCTGGATGGAACTTTACCCATTTTACCCAGTGAACCACAGTCACGTGGAGATACACACGTGACTTTTGCTTCCTTAGCCCACAGTTAGGGCTGGTGATGGGAGAGGCGAGCCTGAGAGCAGAGGAGACCTCTGAAGTTTTAACTTGGCCTTATGGGAAGTCACTTCAAATCCCACCCTACCCCTTCACACGCTCGGTATCGTGTAGTGACTTTTCCTGATCCTCTGCACAAATTCATATTCTCTTTGGTCAAGAGGCTGAGTGATTATTGGCAAAATAAGTGAACTATGGAGGACTTGGAGCCTCTTTGCTTGGGAAGCTTATCAAGACGCATTATGCCAGCATGGGCTGTCTCCAGGCAGGCTCCAGTGTATGAAAAAATAAATACAAGTTTGGTGAGACGCCTGGCTCTTGCCTTCCTATAAACTATCTAATCTGTTAGACACTTCTTACCAGAGCCCGCACAAACCTCAACAGAGAACTCCTGAACTCGGCTGAAGGCTGGAATCTCTAACTATGTTGAAAATGTCGTCTGCTCTTTCTCAAACGCGTCTCTCTCGTTCAGGTGTTTACTCCGTGGGAGCCTATTACCTTGGCAGGCACTGCATCTCTCTGCCTTCTAGTTCTAAAATGATAAGGAAAGAACTTTCCATGATGCTCATTCAGAGCACCGGGTGCAGAGAGGCCACGCTGCTGTGGTCTGAGTGGGTGCGGAGAGGCTGCCCTCGCTGCCGTGGTCTGGGTGGGTGCGGAGAGGCTGCCCTCGCTGCCATGGTCTGGGTGGGTGCGGAAAGGCTACCCTCGCTGCCATGGTCTGGGTGGTTGCGGAGAGGCTGCCCTCGCTGCCATAGTCTGGGTGGGTGCCGCGAGGCCATGTAATCCCCCTCTTGAGTGTGAGCTTAGCTCATCTAGAGAGCAGAAGATAATAGCAAAAAAGAAAAAGAAAAAAAAAGACTTTCTCTGAGGGCCTTGCTCAGACTTTCTCTATGGTCATCTACTTAACTACAGACAGACAACAAAATTCTTTACAACAACATCTGATCAAGGAAGGGCTTTTTTTTTTTTTTTTAAATGTTTCTGCGTGTTCTGGATTTACTGCCCAGCTGCTGGGCTCTGCCGAGATGCCCTTATCAAGAGCCCCTTCAGAGCTTTCCAGACGGATTGCAAAGTTGGCATATTTTTAAATAAACAGCAAGCTGGGCCCAGAATGTGGCTTCTTTGGGGCTAAAGCAACATTTGCATAAAGTAGGCGAACAGATGCCAGGCCCAAGTGATCTACTGCCCTTATCTCTCCCTCCCCTCTTCGGATCTCCCCCCAGACACCCCCACATGTTAATTTTGCTGTCAGGACTGCTGTAGTTGGCCTGAGGACCTGTGTTAAGTCATGCCACGGGAAGCTGCTGTGGGCCCTGGGTTTCTGCCTTCCATCTGCCTTGTGCCTGGCTCTGCAGACCACAGGTGGAAGTTAGAGAGTTGGGCTTTTGATCTATTTATGCTCCAAAGTCTTCAAAGCGCTGACCTGTCTGTCTACCAGGACGTGGATCTCCAGCCATGTGAGGAAGAAAGACAGAGCTAAAAGGGAAGGCCGAGTCCTTTGAGAGCAGGCGACTGGTCAGTGCTCTGGGCTCTAGTCCAGGAATGAAAACCTCTACCTTGCAGGGTGGTGGTGGTATATAGCTTTAACCCCAGTACTTGGGAGGCAGAGGTACGCAGACTTCAGTGGTTTCGAGGCCAGCCTGGTCTACAGAGTGAGTTCCAGGGCAGTCAGGAGTGTTACACAGAGAAACCCTGTCTCCGAAAAAAACAAACAAAAACCCTCTACTTCATATCCACGCCTATATCATGACTGCCACTTCCTGGGAAATCATATTACCCCCTTGCTCATAGGGAGACTCTGGAAAGAGAAGCTAGAACAATGCAAGCCCATTCAAGGATAGAGTGGGCAAATTGTGTGGATTTTAAGTAGTCAGATTTAAAAGAAGCTGAGATTCAGTAGACAGACTGCTCCTTGCTCCACATGCACAAGGCCCTCATTTTGATCCCTTGCACCACATTAAACCAGGTGTGACGACACCGGCACCCCAGCCCTTGGAAGGTAGAGGCAGAAGGGTCAGGGATTCAGAGTCATCCTTGGTTATACAGAGGTCAAGGTCAGTCTGGGCACATAAGATCTGGCTTCATCAAAGAAAACAAATACACACGTAAAAAATTATTCTGAGCCGGGTGGTGGTGACGCACGCCTTTGGTCCCAGCACTCAGGAGGCAGAGGCAGGTGGATCTCTGTGAGTTCAAAGCCAGCCTGGTCTACAAGTGCTAGTTCTAGGACAGGCTCCAAAGCTACAGAGAAACCCTGTCTTAAAAAAACAAACAAAAAAAACAAAAACAAAAAACAACAACAAAAAGAAAAAATCTGATATCTTAAGGAGGCTTTTCACTTTTTTTATACTCTCTGTCTCTGTCTCTCT